GCACCTCTAGCTCCAGAGAGTGATGTGTGTCTTAGGGAGTTCTATACTGAAAAAAATCTGTTGCAGTTGTCTGAATTAATAATGATGTTTGGACATGAAAAGTTACTGTTTTGTTATAGTAGCATCTGATAGCTGTCCGACATAGGTCATCCTTCTTTGTGCATGTGTACTTTACATCAAAAAGATATCCTTGCAACAGAGAGTTTATAGTTTCTACCTGTGTTGTATAACTGATCTGGTCATGAGCTGCGTGTGTGGTCTATTCCTGGGCACGCCTTTTTCAGAAACCTCTTGGGAGTAAATTGTGGGTGCATGAATTAATCTTAGAGATGTCCTCTTAGGCCCAGGCACTGTATTTCCTACCTGCCCTATGGCACCTTTGTTGATAAGTCGTATGCTAGCTAGATTGACCATGTTCTTCTCATGCCACCCTTCTCCCAGTAAATCCTTAGAAAAGGATATTTATTTCCAGGCTGAGAGGTCAGGTTGCTTAGCCAGAACAGTCTTGGCCATATGTTAGTAAGACTTGAATTTACTCCACAAGTGCATCCCAGTTTACTTCTGAAGACTGCTTTGCTTGTATCAAATTCTGTGTGCATAACAGATTTGCTAATAATGTAGTGGAGGGGCCATGGCATATTTTCTGCTAAAATAAATTCGTACAGTCTGCCTGAGTGAAAAGCTTGGTTACTGTTGGGTGAAGGCTCTTGGGGTTTTTTGTGGTGCCTTCAGGGGTCTGCTAGTCTGTTTAGTGAATGATTTTCAGTAGTTTAAAAATAGTCTGAACAGTTCTTGCCTTATCATTAAAATGTATTAGCTGGGAAAAGTCTTCCTGGAATATTTAATGTAAAAGATACCAAGTCATTTTAATATGTTTATTTGTTGGAAAAGAAGCAGGCTGTATGTCTGAAAGCACTGGGAATAAGAATGATGGTGTATAGAGAGACTTCAGCGTTCATCACAGATACTGGTTTGTTTAATAAATGATGTGTTGTGAGTGTTGAAGTTGCACTATATGTCAGGGCAGCTGCAAAAAAAGTAATTTTTAGCCAGGCATCTTCAGTCTACCACTGTCCTCAACAATACAGAAAGATTGATATGGGAGATGGTCCAGGAGAGCTGGTTGATTTTAAAGTTTCTCCTCCTACAGGCTCAAGAATAGTTCCTCCCCGCATGTAGGAAAGCAAGGAAAGGTGGCAGGAGGCCCATGTGCATGAACAAGGAGCTCCTGACAAAATTCAGACGTAAAAAGGAAGCATACAAAAGATGGAAACAGGGTCAGGTCACCCCAAGAGTAATATGGAGACACTGACTGAGAGTGCAGGTATACTGTTAGGAAAGCCAGAGCCCACCTGGGGGTGAATATGGTGAGGGATTCAACTTCTGAAAGGCCAGAAAAAAGGCTTTCTCAGGTGTATCAGCAGCAAAAGGGACACTGGGGAATGTGTGGGCCTGCATCTGAATGTGGGGCATGTACTTGATTAAAAGAAGAACATGGAAGAGGGTGAGGAACTCAAAACCTTCTTTGCCTTGGTCTGTGCTGTTAAGACCCACCTTCAGCAATCCCAGGCCCCTGAAACTCATGGGAAGTCTGGAGCAAGGAAGAGTTACTTTCACTGGAGGGGGACCAGTTTAGGGAACATTTAAACAAACTGGACCTATAGAAGTCCACAGGACCTGATAGGCACCCACAAGTGCTGATGAAGCTTGACAATGTCAATGCAAGGCCACTCTCTGTAGTCTTTGAAAGGTCATGGTGACTGAGGAGAGTCCTGGAGACCAGAAGAGAGCAAACATTACCCCTGTCTTCAAGAGGGCAAGGAAGGGAATCTGAGGAAACTATAGGTTGGCCAGTGTCTTCTCAATTCCTGGCAAGCTGGTGAAGCAAATAATCCTGGATACCATTGGCAAGGAAGGAAGGACAAGACAGACATACAAAGGAGAAGGCACATGTGTTTTATGAAGGGGCCATCATGCTTCTGTGATTAGAAGACTGCCTTCATGAATGTGAGGAAAGCAGTAGATGGTGTTTATCTCAGCTTTAGCGAGGAGTTCAATACTGTCTCCCATAACATCCTACACAGACTGGTGAATTATGGGGTAGATATGTGGACTGTGAGGTGGGTAGAAAACTGACTTGCTGGGCTCACGGGTTCTGATCAGTGGCATGGTAGACTCCTGGGGTTGATAATGGTTCCAGTAGTGTTAAGCCTCTTCATTAATGACCTGGACAGTGGGACAAAGTGCACCATCAGCAAACTTGCAGGGGATACAAAATGGGCAGGAGGGCTTGATGCACCAGCTGGTTGTGTTGCTGTTCAGAGAGACCTCAGTGGGCTGGAGAGATAGGCAAGTGAGAAACTTGGAAACCCAAGTTCAATGAAGGGAAATGCCAAGTCCTGCCTCTGGTGAGGAGTCACCCCATGCACCAGTGCACACTGGGGGCATGCTGTCTGGCAAGCAGCTTTGTCGAGAGGAACCTGAGGGTCCTGGTGGGCACCAAACTGACCATGAAACAGCAGTATGCCATTGTGGCAAAGATGGGTAGCAGCCTCTTGGGCTGCATTACAAAGAGTGTTGTCAGCAGGTCAAGGGAGATCACGTTCCTTCCTCTCTTCTCAGCACTGGTGAGACACACCTGGGATGCTGTGTCTGGGTCTAGGCTTGCCAGTACAAGAGAGACATGGACATACTGGAGTGAGCCCAGCAAAGGACCATGAAGATTATTAATAGATTTGAGCACCTCACATATGAGGAGATGCTGAAGGAGCTGGGACTGTTCAGCCTGTAGAAGAGAAGGTTCAGGGAAGATCTTGCTGACATGTAAATACTTGATGGGGGGCAGTAAAGAAGACAGAGCTAGGCTCTGTGGTGCCTAACATGAAGTAGTTGGCATAAACTGAAATGCAGGAAATTCCATTTAAACATAAGAAATAATTTTTTTTTTTTTTTTTTTTTACTCTAAGAGTGGTTGAACACTGGGAAGAGGTTGCTTGGAGAGTTTGTGGAGTCTCTGTCCTAGGAAATACTCAAAACCTGACTAGACAGGGTCCTGAGCATCCTGCTCGGGGGCAGTTGGATTAGATGATCTTCAGGAATCCTTTCCAATCTCAACAATTCTGTGGTTCTGTAATACAAAGATGAAGTAGGTTCTTAAAATAATTCCCTGAAGAGCTTTATCTGTGCTCTCAAAGACATAGTTTGAAATAGGTCTTTTTTTCCCAGGTTATCTGAGTATTGTTTGATTTGTTTCAAGAATCATGTGCATTAATATTTTATAAATCTTAGAAGCAGTGTGCCAGGGGTTATTGGATGTTATGGTGAGAGAGGCAGCATCTCTTGTCAATCACAGTTGTTTCATGTGTCATGTGTGCTGTTCCTCAGCTGCATATTAAGAACTGAAAGTCATGAAAATTCTATTTGCATTCAGTTCTGTGAATAAGCCGAATTTCTGAAGTGATAGTTCTTCAGGCTAATCCTATGTAATTAATACATTTCCTAGAATAAGGCTGTTTTGTGTTCTTGTAATTAGGATCGTGTCAAATAGAAGATGTGGATCTGGTTTGTGTAGTGGAAGACATTCCTTATCTGGAGCTCTAAGTACTGTTATGTTGGAAGAGGAGGAGGAAAATGATCAGAACATGCTGTCAGGAAGGGATTTAATAGGCAGATTGAGGTATTCTCTGTGCACTTTTGAACTAGAAATGTAAAACGTTTACTTGAGGACAACGTTGCAGGGGATGTTTCTGTTTTATTCTTCCTGGCTAAATGGTTTATTGAAGTGTGGCTATGGTCAATGTCAGGCTACTGTCTTAGAATGAATTTGGGATGTCTGCATCTAGTGGTGTGATTTGAGGTTCAAGTAGTCAGGACCTGAGATGTCATTGTGAAACTCAACTCCTAGACACTTGATGAAGTTTGGTCTCCAGTTGAAAGAGCATGGGGATATAGGTAATCAGAGGTGGAGCTCCACAGGCTTTGGACAATCTTGTCTTCTTGCTTTCCTGCATTCTGGGTTTCTAGCATGTTAAAGGAATTGATGGTTGCTAATAATTCACTTTGAAAACAATTTCAAGCAATAAAAAATTTAAACTTGCAGTGAAGCACTTCACTTGAATATGTTGATTTTTTTTTTCCGTCCTGGTTTTTAAGAAAACCATCTATTTGACCATGATCAGTAGTACCTTGAGTTCCTTCCAAATTACAGCAATTTACTTTCATTTGCATCTCTTTAGTACCTTTAAGAAAAACACTCCTTACAAAGAATCTTAGCAGAACTTTCTTATGTTAAATGGATCTACTTTTACAAATGAGTAAAACTCATTTAACAGAGACAAATTGATTAGGTTACATCAACAAAAATGAAAGAAAGAGCGCCCTTTTTAAGGATTATTTTTCTAATACAAACCAGAAGTATATGCATAGGGTGATGTCAGTTTAAAAGGTTTAAGATAATACTAAGTCTGTGCAAATTAGCTCTTTGGGGTCTCTATTATTTTTGTAAATGTTTATTTGGGTCTCTTATCCAGCATTCAGGATGTATGACAGCCATCTTCAAGTTTGATAGAAATTTCTGTCAGCTGCTATTAGTTTCTGTGGTTCCAAGTGAAGCTTTGGTAATCCAAACGTTAACCTGGAGTGGAAAGCAGGTCTTCCATGTGAAAGCATATTATGCTGTTGTCAAGTGAACTGCTGGACTGAACAGATTTGATTTTTTTTTTTTTCTTTTAAATGGGATTTATTTGCCTTGAAGCCAAGATAAATTGGCTTCACATCAAAGAGTGATCTTTTCAGCAATGTACAGGAATAGAATTATCAGGCAGTAAATGTCTAAATTCTGTAAGAACGGACTGTCTTATGTTCATAAAGATTATTACCAATATAGTATCATTTAATGTAGAAATCTACCTAAATGGATTTGGGTTTTTTTTTGCTGCAGAACTTTGTCAAGTGTGAAAATGAGCTCCTATAATATGAAAAAAGTCTGCTTTTTCTTTCAGCTTTTGCTGTACATGTAGTTCCTGAAGGTGCAGAAGATGAGACCGAGCTACCAGTGCTGCAGGTAATAAATTTTAATTGCCAGAGCAGGAGCATTTTACAGACATTATAAAGTCATCTAGAAGAGACTAGAGCAAAAAGCCTAACATCTGTGGCATTGATTATTTTGATCATTGACTTCAGTGGCACTAAATGTCATATGATGACTTTTTCTTCTGTGTGGCATATAAGAGACCTTTAATAGGACACAAGTTGCGTGTAGCACTACTCTTCCGTTACTATGAGGATCTTAATTTATCCTATGGATTCTTAGAGTTACTAGAATAGACTTACACTTAGCGCTTTTGTTTTCTTTCTTAGCCTGGTTTTTCTGACTTATGTTCACAGGTGTTAAGAATTAGGTTTTTCGGGTTTTGTTGTGGAACAAAATTATAAATTAGAGAACGATTTTTCTTTTTTGCAGGATCAGCTGAAGAGTGCAGTAGAAACTTATCGTGAAACAAACTTGTGGATTTTACCAAGTGCATTTCTACAACTTGACAGTGATTTTCTGCAGGCTGATAGTGTTATTGCTGTTGAGAATAGTATATAACCTTTATTAGTTTCAGAGCTAGGTTTTCCTTTCTTCTTGGTTTTGTCAAATATATTTTCCATTGCGAGGGAAATGGCTGCCTTTCTGCTAAATTAGCATTACTACATATGGCTATAGAAGTCACGGCTCAAGTAAAGCTTGAGTATGAGATTTCAAATTAACAGATTAGAAGAACTGATGATGAGAGCTAGTGCTACCGTTAAACACGTAAGGGGTGTTCAGTGTGTATGCATGAATGTCCTTTAATCTACCTTCTATCCTGTCCTTCTACCTACCAATGTTTTTATAGGTATGTATTTGTAACAGATATTTGTGTATGTATAGAAGACATTTAAGGGAGGAAAATCAAAGTACTGGAGTGAATCAAGAGTTAGAATCTGTAACTGTCGTTTAGAGGTAGTGATCTTGCATCAAATGCAATAGAAGTATGGTCAGAGATGCCTGTTTCTAAATATTTTTTGATTTTGTTGATGATTGCTGTATCTACAGTAATTTTCATAAATTAAAAAGATCCCTGTTGCAAACTGCTGATCTGCTGCAGTGTATCTGGGAGACTAGGAAATGTCACTCTTTTCATTACTTATAAGTTGCTGTTTGTCAAATTCCATTACTGTCTCAACCCAGCTGTTTAATGTTATCATTCTTATATAGCATACAAGTTATGAAGGCTTTCCTACTATTTTAGAGTTTCAAAACCTTTCCTCAGATGAAGTCAGAGGTGCCTCCTAGAACCCATCAGGCCAAAATCTTTTTTTTTCCTTTTTTTTTTTAACGTTAACAGGAATGTAAGGGGCAACAATTATTTTGTGTTAATAAAGCTAAATGTAAAATATGGCTTGTTTGTCACATTGTGTACCATAAAACACTTTTTTTTTTTTTTTTGCATAGAAAATTAATCTTCCCACGTTGTTTACGATACAGGTTAACTTAGAGTGTGGTGTGTATTGCACTGTAAGGTGGCAGTACTGTGTATAGTCATCAAAACAACTTAGTCTTATAAGAACTTTTTTAAACTTCATTGACACAGTCAGCAAAAAAGGGTCATAAGCATGGATGCAATGCAGTCATTCTTGAAAAGGTTTTACAGATGGCTACCAAGGAAGTTGGAGCTTATGCATTTTGATGTAAAAGTCAGACCTGGACAAAGAGAGAGATCATCTGATGCAAGTAGGACTAAAAGGATTAGATGGATATTTAAAAAAAGAAGGAAGAAAAAAAAAGTGTTTATAAACAGGAATTAAGTCACAAGGGTAGGAAAACTATATACGAGCTTATTACTGAGGAGGGCCTTGTATAGTGTTTCTATCTGAAGGTCTTAAAACACTTGGACAAGATAAATCCTACAACATCTTCAAGCAATTAGTAAAGATGATCTTGATTTTACATGTGGAGAAACCGAAGCTCTGAAGTGCTGTTACTAGGGAGAAATTGTGCAATAAATGAAGGCTCTGTTTTCCTTCCTGCGATTTTTGTAGGAAGCACAGAGCTATTTCTCCAGTCCTATCTCTACCAGTCAGGAGTTCTTAAACAACAGCTTTCCACCCAGCCCCTGTTCTTTAGAAGCAGTTGAATATCCTCCTAAGATGTTTTTGTGCACGTCTTGGTTTCCAGGTTAATGATGCAAATGAAGTGTCACTGTTGTCTGTTCCTCAGCACTCTGTTAAAATTTCATCACAAATGTGTGTGATAACCTGAGTAAACCTTAGTGAAGTCATGTTATATACAACAACCTTTTCATATTTATTTGTCTTGACAGAAATTGCTTTTGAGTCTTCCTGTAAGAACTGTGTTTCAATAGATGCTTGATAGTGGATTAGATGAGTAAGAGTGTGTTGAGGTTTTTTTACATACTGAACGGATGTATTTGTATTATAGAGTCCCATATTCCAAACTTTGTGCTGAGGAGATACATATTAAAAAAAACCCAAACAACATTGTTAATATCACTTAAAGAGCTCTGGTATAAATTGACTCATGGAAAAGCATTGTCTCATTTTTTACTCTTTTACTGTATTGTCTAAGTAATAGTATACATACATGGAGAATATCTGTTTCAGTTCTTGATGATGAAAAACTTTTTACTTTAGGTTTTTTATTAGTTCTTGAGTTAAAACCTCTATGTATACGTTTATAATCTGATGAATGCTTTGACTACCTGTGTGTGTCTATAGAAATATTTGAGGGTTTGCGTGTATTCTTATTTTGCTTTTCTCCTTTCTTCTAGAAGACTGAGAAAAGTGGAACAATCAGTAAAATAAGCAGAGGTAAGTACTGTTATAATCTGTATTTGTTTCACTTGTGTCTGCCTTTTTAGTATAAATAAAATACAGTTGTGCTTTGAAAAGTGACTGTGTGAACAGTGCCTAAATGCTCAACAGCATTGTTAGTTACTTGCTGATTCCCAAATACTTTGTATTTTTTTTCTTTGCTCATGTAGTCTCATGAAACAGAAGCTTCTCAATCTTTGTTTGTGTTTGCAGTTCTTGTAGTAAAGTGTTTTTCTGAAAATGTTCACTTGCACTATGAAACTGATGCATTGCTTTTGGTAGTACACAATACCTTAAAATCAAATTTCATGATACTTGATGTCTCTTCCTGTAAAAATTTAACATGAGACTGAATTTTACAATTCTGCTAGGCTCTCGTGGTACTTGGAATAACTACAGTTATTATAAGTTAATTGTAACAACTTGTAATAACTTTGTGAGATCTAGAAGCAAGTATTTAGGAAACATGTCAAACATTAGTAGGATAGTGAGTGGTAAAATAATATTTTACTGGACGTGTGAGATAAATTATGAGAATAAAAATTCTGCAAGCTGCTGCTTTTTCTGAAAACAAGTCTGATGTCCTTCCGGCAAAAAGTTTACAGACCTGAGATTAGGACTTGATGTCTTTGCACTGTAACCTAGTGCTGCCTCTGCTATACTATAACAGTTCAGTCCTTAAAGCAACTTGAGCTGTTGCGGTACTTCTCACTCTTCTAAACCCTGAACACTTGGGTCTGCTTGTTCTAAAAAGAGGCAGGTTATCCATGCTTCTGTTGTAGCAGTTTCTGAGCGTTTGTGAGTTCGTTCTGACATCAGAGCTGAACACCGGGAAGACTTAGCATGCTTTTAGTAGAGTTGCTAACAGAACTCTGAATGGTGCTGAGAAGATCTGGCTTTTGTTTGTTTGTTGGCTTTTTTTTTGACTTAGTTGCAAGCTCTGTCCCTAACACAGCTAACCACTTCTGTGGAAAATAATTAAGTCCCTTGTCCCATTAATCTCCTGTTTTACTATTGAAAGGTCGG